AGGGCTCAGCTATTGTTCAATCTCCACACATTTGTGGTTTTTTCTCTATTTGTCTAGTTTCATGCCATTGTGGTCAGAAAATATGCTTGATACAATTTCAATCTTCTTGAATTCATTGAGTCTTGTTATGTGCTTTCTTGAGGGTGGTTATTTCAAAGGTGTGTTAACCTAGATAAAAAAAAAACAAAAACAATGGAGAGGGCCTCCTTAAGTCCAAGATACACCTTTTACTAAAAAGTTATATGCTGGGAGCATCAATTTCACATTCCCAATGGAGTTTCAATGATGGGGATAGTAGACTGAAAAAGGAAGGAAGATGGCGAGCTCACGAAGGAAATAAAGGGTCAACAGTCACCGCCAGGGCTCAGGGGTAGGGTAAGGGAGTGACGACACAGGAACAACTTAAAGAACTCAGGGATAATTTGGGGTGACATAAAAGTTCTGCACGTTGATTACAGTGCTGGTCACAGGAATGTGTACATGTGTTAAAAGTCATAGAACTGTCCCTTCCAAAATGTCAACTTCACTACGTAATTAAAATTTTTAAAAATTGCCCATTAGGCAGGTAGGAATACTTGCTTTCTGTAAAACTGTTTTACCACAAGCTCATGCATGCATAAATACTAGTTTTGTTTGCTTTTCAGTTATATATAAAGGGAACCCTATAGCCTAAAAGTAGTCAGCACTCATATTCTCTAACACTATGTACACAGCTATGCATTTTTCACAATTGCATGACCAACAGCCAGGAAATGCCAAATCTTCTACTCAAAGTTTTCCTTTTGGAAAGTTGATTCTGTTAAAGGAGAATCAAGTAAATGCAGTTCAAGAATCAAGACATGGAGTTCAGGCTTATACATTTATTTCTGCTTCATTCCATAGACAGACAGTGGGTGATCCCACAGGAAGAGGTACTTGAGCAAAAGTAATGGTAGTGGAATGCTTTACCACTTATTCCAGGTAAAGGAGTTCAAGCAGGAGGAGCAACTCCTCTGGGCGCTGGTGGCGCTGGTAGATGTGGTGGTGGCAATGGCCTTCCATATGCCTGTGGATGCAGTGGAACGTGTCGTGAAATGTAAAAGGAATCGGAGGGGTCATGCTCCTGTAACATAAGTAAATCTAACATTTAAATTCTTGTAATAAAATAAATATGCAGCAAATAATTCATAACAGTAGATGTTTGTGTTTTCCATAGATTACACACTGCTCATTTATCAACATCCTAAAACTTCACAGTACATGAAAAAGACTTGTACAGGTATTTGATAAGGACTTTATTTCTTTTTAAATATATCTCTTTATTGATTTCAGAGAGAGGAAGGGAGAGGGAGAGAGAGAGATAGAAACATCAATGATGAGAGAGCCATTGACCAACTGCCTCCTGCACGCCCCCATCTGGGGATCGAGCCGGCAACCCTGGCACCAAACCTCAATCTCCTGGATCCTAGGTCAATGCTCAACCACTGAGCCATGCCTGGCCAGGCTGATAAGCTCTTTAAATGCTACACAATGACTACTTCTGCTAACACTCTAATGCTAGGACAGTTGATACCCTCATAAAAGCTTTGTGAAATACTACTCCAAAATAATTACACACATAGTTCATGATAAACATTTACAAAGAAGAATTACTCTATCATGCACTTAGTGCGAAACATGAGTAAGGTTTTAATGCAGTTCTTATGCAAAATTAGTTCCCTTCCTATAGCTGACTACCTCCTCATGAATGTATGTCATTTGTTGTGAGCTGAGGACAGAACCTTGGGAAATGCCCCACAGGGAGGGTGAAAGGGAGAGTAACTGAATTCTCAGAGATGGGAAAAGGGAAGCTGGAGGACAGAAAAAAATGAAATTAAAAGAAATTATCAAATAGAGTAAAAGAGAATGAGGCTAGGAAAAGGCCACTAGACTGGGTCATTTGGAGTTCACTGGTAACTTTTGACATAATTTTTGGTAGAATGGTGGAAACAGAACAATTAAAGAAAAAAATACCTATTGAGCATCTACTATGTTAAGATACAATCTTCACTTTCTGCATAGTCCTTCTAAACATGATCTGTCTTGTGGAGACTACATAACAGTTGTAAAGTTCAGACACTCTGATCAAGATTTTAAGTATACAAGCGAGCCTTTGTCAAAGGTGGCTATATAAAGTTTATAGGGTATTAAATGAAAGTAGTTGAGATTCACAAAGGTCTGCAGAGGGCTTTGGGGAACCATTAAAATGAGGATTTTCTTTTTTAAATAAGTTCTTATTGATTTCGGAGAGAGGAAGGGAGAGGGACAGAGAGATAGAAACACCAATGATGAGAGAGTCACTGATCGGCTGCCTCCTGCACGCCCCTCGCTGGGGATGGAGCCCGCAACCCGGGCATGTGCCCTGACCGACAATCGAACCACAGTCTCCAGGTTCATGGGTGGAGACTTCACCACCAAGCCACACTGGCTGGGTGAGGAGTTTCTTTTTGAAAGGAAATAATGTAAACCCAATTATTCACATCATGAACATTTCCTCTCAAAAATAGTTTTGCAGGTGTAATATATTCTCTCACAAAGCTTTGAAGAAAGCTTAAGAAACTAATGCTTGAGTCTTTTCCACACAGGAAAATTTTTATTGTCCTGGAAAATCAAATCTGTGGAGCCATTTAAGCTAAGATGCTAAACTGCCAGGAAGTCTGCTTCTGTTTGCATTTTCCTTCCATCTAACAAAACAATTTTCTACCGTAGAACTCACCGTGATGAGAATATATGTCTAGTTTAGTACCTGAGCTCAACACTGCTGGAAAGCTGTTCCAGGCTCTTTGACCTTTTCTTCCTTTTTGTGGATCTTGGCTTGAGCTTAGTTTCAGACTTTGAATGCTTCATGTTCCTGCAATGATCACCACCATTAATGTACACCTAATAATAGTTTTACAAAAGCTTCAAACAATATTATATACAAAATAGAGCATTAAATCTCAACCCCTCAGTCGTGATGATTCTCCTGACAAATACCCATGTGGGAATGAAGCCAGTGCTGGTGGTGACAGGGGTTGTAATGAAAAGTATGTCCCTACCAAAGGCAAACAAACCCATTTTCACTCCTGGAGAAGAAAAAGCAAAAAATGGGTGAACCAAGGAATTTTTCTTAATTTATCATAAACATTTTTACTGTTTTTCTGTTGAAATGTAGATCTTAGAAATCAATATCATTTTTTAATGTTTTATACCAAAAGCTTTAAGTTGAATGAATTACAAAATGAGACCTAAAAATAAGATGCCCTCCAATAAGTGCATGGATAAACAAACTGTGGCACATCCACACAATGGATTAAAAGAAAGCAGTATTAAAAGAAATGAGCTATCCTGCCAACACACGGGGAAACCTTAAATGCATATTGCTAAGTGTTAGAAACCAATCTGCAAAGGCTATGTGCTGTAGAATCCCAACTATGTAACATTCTGGAAAAGGCAAGCCTATGCAGAAAGTTCAAAGGTCAGTGGCCATGAGGGGGTTCAAGGTAGGGGAGAGAGATGAATAAGTCAGTAGAACACAGAGGATTTTTAGGGAAGTAAAACTGCTGTGTATGATACTATAATGGAAGATACATGTCATCATATACTTGTTAAACCCAGAGAATNATTTTTAGGGAAGTAAAATTGCTGTGTATGATACTATAATGGAAGATACATGTCATCATATACTTGTTAAACCCAGAGAATTTACAACACAAGGAACACTAATGTCAACTATGGTCTTTAGTTCATTATAATGTATTAAATGAGCCCATTAATTGTAACAAATGTATCTCACTGATTCAATATGGTAATAATAAAGGAAACTGGGAGTGGGGGAGGAGTATATCAGAAATACCTATTTCTAAAAAGTCTATTAATTTTTTAAAAACCTATCAAGCAGTTCAACTTAACTAGATTTAACCTGGATAAGAGACTATAGTTCTAGAATGCTCAAATGATGCGCATTCACACGAACTAAAATCTTTTTCCTACACAGTGAAGTGTCTACCATGCCCTAAGAGGTGCTCTACAAAATCAGACACCAAAATGATGTATTTGCCATAAATGCATTGTCCTTGAGATGGCTAACCAGGACACCTGTATAAAATGTTCAAGGTGGGACTGTGAGCACTTAAGATGCAGTGTTAAGAGAACATCTGGATGGTAGACATTCTACAATTATGACCTGGTCCAGCCCCACTTTAGTCAAGCAGCCAGGACTCTAAACAGGTCCAAACAAGCCTAAAGTTTTAGAATGGACACCATCCAGCCCAGCTATAGAAAGACTGTATTTATATATTGTTTGATTGTTGTTAACGTCTTTTCGAGTCATTTTAGAAGGTTGTACACCCGTCTGGATGATGCTACTTCTGTTTCTAAAACTGGTTTATCTTCCTATCTAGAATTGTCTTTAGAGTTTGTGGAACAACCAAAACTACTTTCACTGCCAATAAACATTACTCCACAGAGTAGATCTGAACTTTGGAAATTTTTTTTTTAAATATATCTTTTTTGATTTCACAGAGAGGAAAGAAGAGGGAGAAAGAGAGATAGAAACATCAATGATGAGAGAGTCATTGATCGGCTGCCTCCTGCATGCCCCCATCTGGGGATCAAGCCTGCAACATGGGCATGTGCCCTGACCGGGAATCAAACCCCAATTGCCTGGATCCTAGGTCGATGCTCAACCGCTGAGCCACGCCCGGCCGGGCCTGGAAATTTTAAAATGTCACTCATATTCAAGTTTGAGGAAAGAGCAGGCGAGCAATCTGGGCAATGAGAGTGTTTGGGGTGAGACCTGAACTACCACTTACTCATTCATTGATCCCTCCCTACCTGGAAAATATCCCAGTGGCTGATCCAAAACTTTTCTAGTCTATTTAAATTTCGAACCCCCGAAGAGCTTCAGGAACAGTAAATGAACTTATTTGCTAGCTCACCAAGAAGATGGAGATCCTGCAATGCAAGCTTGTGCAGGTCGACTGTTATCTACACTGATTCCTCTAATCCACACTCACCTCACTCCCTAAGGTTATCTTCTCCAGGTGTTGTGTTGCATTCTGGCTTGGTGCCTACACAAGCACACTGTCCACAACTTCCTTCTGAAAATGCTTCACTGGTACATTTGCAGAGAGCCACTCAAACTTTCTACCTGTGATTTAAATTAGCTAAATAATCTGTAACCACACATAGAATCAGAATGGCCAAAATTTGAAATATGTGAACTGGAAGAGGTCAGCTCAGAAGTCTGCTAACCTTATCCTATCCTGAATGATGGAGAAACTAAGATCCAAACGTATGTAAGCGACTTACTTAAAGCCACAGCCAATTAGTGACAAAGCTGAGACTTCTTTTTATGACTTCTTTGAACTAATTTATACTGGCAGGGAGCCACTGGAAGAACACACATCCTTTTGGTTTTGTTTGTTTGTTTAAATATTTTTATTGATTTTTAGAGACAGAACAAGAGAGAGAGAGAGAGAAAGAGAAACATTGATGTGAGAGCATAACATCAGTGGGCTGCCACTGGTATGCCTGACACAGGGGATCAAGCCCACACCCCGGGCATGTGCCCAACAGGCAATACAACCAGCAATCACCTGGTGCACCCTTCAACACCCAACCAATTGAGACACACTGGCCAGGGCCATCCTTTTGTTTAAATTTAAACTTGGGGTGAGAAAAATCATCGCACACTGAAATTTCTTTGTTATTATTATTTTCCAGTGCTCCTTTTCCTAAAATATATGTGTACAGAAAGCTGTGATGGATAAATAACTATCATTTGCCCCATTCTTATATGTGGTGACAACAACAGCCCCAAATGAGTGGATTCTAAGATTCTCAAAGGGAATTTTGAATGTGCTCCTTAAAACAAGAACTTTCAATATAAAAGGTGTATTAATCAAAAAGCATGCAATGTCTTTCACCAACAAAACTGACTTCATGCAAACATGTAATACTCAAAATCTTAGAATTTATTCAAGCAACAGAAAAAGTAAGGAAATCCTGAAGTAACTTCAGTGATATTCCATAATTTCTGGAATGATAGAAACCTGGATTATCTCCAAGATAAGTCAAAGTGTAAAGAGACAGAAGGTCCTCTCCTCAGCAATCAGGGGGACAAACAGGATCCCCTGGAATGCTTTCCTAGTTCTAGGGTTTGTGAAAATATCAGGCTATTCGGATAGCTTCAAAAGGCGTCAGGTTACTGAAACGACCCTTTCTGTCTCCCTTGGCTCAATCTTGGGCACTAAGAACATAGCTGTAATACTTGCCGGAGACTAATGGACACATGATTTCTACCAAACTCCCTGGCACCAGTATAAAGTGGATGAAAACATTTCAGAAAGTCACGCTTGTAAAAATCAAGGGGATACAACACAGAGTAAAATTGAGAGATATCATCTATACCTATTAGATGTGTGAAGTCACTTCTAGTAAAATAATGGCCTCTCTGGGCTTTGAGTTTGAACTGAATTCAGGGGTGCTGGAACTTGTAAATGGGCTAATATTTCTGAGAGCACAGGCAGAATTCTCACGATCATCATAATGAACAATTACAGCAATGGAGTATGCACAGACACAGCGCCGAACCGGATCCTAACAGAGGAAGCTCACTGAGAGACCTACCTTGCAAAAGGAGCCTGTTGCCCTGACCGGTGTGGCTCAGTTGGTTGGAACATCGTCCCATGCACCAAAAAGGTGGTGGGTTCGATTCTCGGTCAAGGCACATCCCCAGGCTGCAGGTGCGATCCCTGGTCAGGACACGTACAGAAGGCAAACGGATCAATGTTTCTCTCACACATTGATGTTCTCTCTCTCTCTCTCTCTCTCTCTCTCTCTGTCTCCCCACCCCTCCCTTCCTCTCTCTTAAAATCAATAAAAAAAAAAATTTTAAAGAAAAAAAGGGAGCCTGTTGTCCAGAGGGGGTTACGCAGAATCAAAGTACAACTGAGAGTTGTGTTACATACCTAAGAGAAGTGTGAGATCAGGATCAGATGTTCGTCTGTGCTTGAACTCTGGGTCTAGCCCATGACACTGTCACAGGAGCTCTGGAACACACTCTCCAGTTTTCTTACGAAACTGGGGCCTGAAAAGGAAAGAAAGTATTGTGAATAGCTTTGCCACAGATACAAATCAACATCTCTAAGTAAAGATCATCATTTTAAAAGAATAAAATCACCAGTCTTGTCCTAGTTCTGTAGAAGAGACCCCTCCAGCCACTGCACACCCTGGGAAGAAATGAGCCTAAGCCTAAAGATGGTCCAGGCTGTATTCTGCCAGACCCATTGTGATGTCATCAACTGTGACCATGTAGTGACATCACCCAGTAAGTTGCTGGGGTTCAGGCTTGTGGCCATACATACTGCTCAGCCTTTCTGCTCCCTTTAGCTACTCTCCCTGAGGTTAATGAAATAAGGAACCTGTTAGCCCCACATCCAGGGATACAGAAATGTTCTCGGAACTCAGTGATTCCAGTGAGACAGGAACGTCCTGTCCTGGCCCTGGGTGCTAAGCGACAGTTGGGTTTTGTACACCACTGACACTCAAGTAGCTATGAACAGCTTGCAAAACTGGGCAGAGCCACTTAGCAAGCTATGCAAGGACCAATTTCCACATGTATTCCAAAAAGATACATTTTATAGAGACATAGGCCTAGTATGTGTGGCTAGAGCCTCAATTTATTCAAAGTGGCAAAGGTCTTAAGCCATATCCTAACTATATAAACCACCAAGGTAACTCTGGCCTTAAACCTGGCTGATTCCATACCACCAAATACAACAGCAGCAGGGCACCCCTTGCATCAAACCAACCTGGCAGGGAAATGACTATTTACCAGTGGGCTCAAAGATTTAACAGAGTAACAACATCAGTAAGAAGCGCAGGATATTCCCTCTCGTTGCAACTTTCATCCCCAGCTCTCCACAGGACTCCCCCTTCCCCTCATTTCCTTTAGGTCTTTATTTCACCTTCTCAGTGGGACCTGTGCTGCACAAGCCACCTGAAGGTGCAGATCCCCACACCTTCCCCAGGCCCTGCTCCACCCCCGCTCTGGTTCGCTGCAGAGCACGTGTCACTCTCTCTCATGATATTCGTGTCTTATTTTTCAGCCTCCCCCACAGGAATGTGAGCCCACCCGAGCAGGTACTTTTTGTCTCGTTCATGGATGTATTTCCAGCATACAGAACAGTGCCTGGCCATATTAGGTAGTCAGCACATAATGGAAGTCACCTTTTCCCACCAGCCATGATTATCAGGCCATTTCCAGAGGTGACCCTGTTAATTGTACACTGTACATCTTTCAGACTTTTATTCCGCATATTAACATATTTGTAAAAGGGGTCATTAAAAATAGATACTGTACACTGCACTTTAAGCAGTCAAATATTTCTACAATACTTAAAAGAAGAATCACCTGTCTCCAGCCCTAAATGGAGACACAACCAATTACAGCTCTGTAAATGTGACCATAATCAACTCTCCTAGTTGATATTTTCACCCATAGTCTCAATAACACCCAAAATAGGGGTACTTTATCTGTTTTGGTTGCCATCGTTGTTTTTGTGAATCTTCTTAGCTCTTTAACATGGATCATTGTAAACAATATAACGACAATCTACGTATCAGCCGTCTTCAATAACACTCAACATTTAGTCAATGACTTTTAATTGTACTTGTTGCTGGCATATTTCAAAGCATATGCCAGATATCCGATGACTTCAGGCACAAATGAATGCACAGAAGTTATTTTCTACCCATGTTCTACTGGACCATAAACGCTAACAAGTAGGGCTTTGAAAAAACATCACCAAACTACCATCATTACATCTGCCAAACATGACAATTATTCCCTAATTGTAATTTAACATGAAAACGTCCCTGTGCGATGAATGTGCTTCATCTATAGATGTCTCTTCAACTTCATTTGTTCTTATTAGGATCTAAACAAGTTTCATACACAGAATTGGCTGAAATATAACTTCGTCCTCTTGTAATCGGTAACAGCCCCTCCCCTCGTTTTCTTTGCAGTTCCTTTGACGAAAGGACTGGATTGTTGGCCCTGTAGGATTACTCACATTCTGGGTGGCCCCGTAGGCATCCTTGTGCCAGCCGTGTTCCATTAGAAACACAATGTCCTGGGGTAGATACAGGCTCAATTGCTTTGGCAAGAACATGTCCTACTTAATGCTTTGTCCTTTGATTACATCATATCAGAAGCGCATGATATCTCTTGCTCACATTTGTCGTGATGTGAAGATTGATCGAATGGTTACAGAATTCTTACGTTGATTTACCCATGCTGTAAAATTTCTGCTCACCTTTTCCCTGAATTTTATGGAAGTCATGTGCTGGTTTACACTTTAATTACTGATACGCTATTCACATATCACACAAGTCACCATATTAAAGTATGCAAGTCAGAATACAAAATCATATGGAATGCAAACTGTAATTGAAAAAATAAATTTAAAAGATGAGGTGTACAAGTCACTATTCTTTAGTAAATCCATAAACATGTGCACCCATTACCACAGGAAATTGTAGGACGTTTTCACCACCAAAAGAAAGTCCATGCTTATCATCAGTCATCCCCATTCTCCTGATGGGACTGATCACCCACCTGAAGAGTATAAAAGACACTTCAAAGTGAAAGCCTCTGAGCTACAGCAGGGGCGAAAATAAGCCTTTTCTGAGCTTCCCTTACCTGACTAGAGCAGAGCTTTATAAGAGACTGCTGCCAACCCACCCCCAACTTTGGGGGAACTCAATTAGGGGGCTTGATCTTGGACATTAGAACATTCCAAGAGATTGAGCAAACAGGCCTCATCGGATCCTTCCCTCCTTTGAAGTCCTAGTCCAGCAAACCCCTTGTGAAGCTGGTATGTGAACCTCTATGTCTAGCTCCTTAGGAAGCCTCTTCATCTGAAACTCCCACATAATAAATAAACTTTCTCCTCTTAATTTACTTTAATTAATTGCAGGACCCTAGCCCTTTGAACCTGAGACAGTGGAGGAAACGTTTTCCTCCCAGCATGCCCCTCTCCCTAGCCCCTGGCAAACACTAACTGACTTTCTCTCCATAGCTTTGACCCTTGCAGACATTTCATGTGAATTAAATCTTACAGTGCTCTTTGGTGTCTGGCTTTTTTCATGTATCATCATGTTTTGGCACGTGTCAGTACTTTATTCCATATTTTACCTAAATAAAAGTCCACGGTGTGGATATGGCACATTCAGTGTACACATTTGTCAGGTGATGGGCAATTGGGTTGTTTTCCCTTTTGGCTTTTGAATAATGCTGCCATAAACATTCATGTATAAGCTTCTGTTTGAATGTCTGTTTTCAGTCCCCTGAGCTATAGGCCTAGGAGCGGACTGCAGATCCTGTGGTCCCCCCGTGTCTAACTTTTTGTAACGACGACATTGTCCGAGCACCACAGAACATTTTCACCAGCAGTGAATCCCCGCTCCCATTTCTCCACATGCTGATCACATGTATTATTTTCCATTTTTATGTTAGCTGTCCCGTGATTTCTTATTTCCCATGGCTACTGATGTTGAGCGTCTCTTTGGCGGGCTCATCGGCTGTTTGCAAGGAGAGAACAATGGATTTGCAACGTGGGCGCCCCTGGGTGAATCCATCCTGTGCCGCCCTCCTTCACAACGGCAAAGCCATTTAGACCTCAGTTTCCTGGCACAATGAGTAGTTATTGAATCTGTGATTGTCCAGGGAATGGAGACAGAGAAAAGGCTATGATTTGGATCTCTGCATGGGAAGTGGCCACTGCTCCCTAAAGTGCAGGGCCAGAAACACCAAGGAATCCAGGGGGGCAGCCTAGGTCCAGGGCCCAGGGATTGGGCAGCTAACTCCACCTGGAGGAGGTGAAGGCTCTTGCACTTTCCACTCCACCAGGTGGGGGGGCTGTGGCAGAGCATGAAGCCCTCCCTTCACCCCCTAGGAGTTGAAGGCGGCAGCGTTTTGTGAGATTTCCCGTGTTGACCTGAAATGCAAAAGGCAGCTTCCTGGCCAGGACAAGGCACTTCAGGGTCCTCACTGTCCTCCTCCCTCCGGCCCGGGAAACCCCACCCACCTCTGCCCGAACTGCGCGGGAATGGGTGAGAAAAGAGCTGAGTCAGAGCCTGAGCCCAGGGCTGGAGGAGCGGGACAGCACGTGGTCTGCGGAAACCGGGGCCTGCGCGGGTCCTTTGTGGCGGGTGGAATGGGGCCGGGAATTCTGAGTGAGGGGCGGCGGGCAGGCCCGTTGTGCTGCTGTCTCCCGTCCCCTCCCTGCAGGACACGGCGCGACACGACACGACACGACACGTGTCTCCCTCAGGTGAACCTGACTTTGAAAGAGGAGCGCGTAACTTTTTCAATAGGAAGGAAGAAGTCAATCCAGGCACCAGTGGGGCGGGAGAACCCTGCGAGTCGCTCTGACTCCTTCGGACCCAGCACGTCCCCCGCCCCCCACCGAGGCGGTGCGGACGCCGCGCAGCCGCCCCGGGAAAACGCAGCCCGGCGCGGGCTCCCCAGCAGGCCCTCGGGAAGGAGCAGGAGCGAGGGCGCGCTGGGAGCGCCTGCTCTTGGGAATCTGCCTCTCACCGGAGGAGGAACAGTGAAAGTCTGGATTATCTCAGGCATATGAATGAGGCGAACTTGTAACATCCTTTCAAAGTATTATTCTTTAAACAGTCCCCCCCCCAGTTTGCGACTGTTGAAGGGTCAGTTTCCCGTGCTATTGTCCCATCACATTCACGGTTTGCCGGGACGAATGGGTTCTCCCGAGGAAAAGGCAGTGGACCCTCCGGCTTTCCCAAGCCCACCTCTCCCCGCCCCTTCTGGCGCCAGGGACTGTAGGACGTCGTCCCACCCTTCCCCTGGGCGGGGCCAACACCCAGAACAGGGACTCCGCACCTCCGGGTACCTGCAGTCCCCACCCCCGGAGGAGCGGAATGAATGTGGTGGGGGGA